TATATAATAGCCCTATGTGTAAAAATGTATAAATGTAACTTCCTTCAATAAGTTAATAAAATAATAAATCTTTTGGATAGATTGTTATAATAGTGAAGTTATAAGTAGTTTTAAGGAAAACTATCTTGAGACTCATCCAAATCTTTTTATGCCTCTGCCTTGAATTTAATATTGTTTTGTGTATGTGATAAAAGGACGGACTCTTCTATTCACAGGTTACACAAGCCTTTGATCATTAGCGATAGACTCACCAATCAATCTGCTACAATAGAACTTAGAAATAACTGTAATTTATTAATCTATCTTGTATCTTTCAATAATATCATAAATATGTATTTTTAATAATTAAAATATCTTTAATCTTATGCTTATTATGGTTACTTTTTTACTGATTAATGATTTTGCTATGCTTAAAATCAGTAAATTTACAAGTTTTAAATATTTTTTTTTATTTTTGAATTAAGAAAGTTTGTAACTATATAAAAAAAATTTTAATGCATTTTTATATATAAGATTTTGAGTTATTAATAAATAAAGTTTGATTTTTTAAGTAGTAATAATTATATGATTAAATATATTTGTCAGATAAGTATACAAATAGGTATTACTGTATTATATTAATTTTTCTTAGACTAGAACTTTTTAATCACAATTTTTTATTTTTATTACCTAAAAAAAAACTTTTCAATTTGTTAAATAGTCTTTTTTTTTAATTACTTATTTTACCTATTTAGTTATAATCTCTATAAATTTACTAATTATATTAAATACAATATTATTTTATACTATAATAATCATTTCTTTTAAATAAAATTTATTTTGTGATTTCTATTTTCATTAATTTAAATTTTAAATTTTCTCTACATATTTTTAAATGAAAAAATTTTAATAATTATAATGACTATTCTATGAACATAATTTCAAGTTCAGATTATAATTTTTCATAAAAATATATTTGTGAATAATGTGTTGTCTTTTTATAGTATTCCTTTATTAAAAGTTAGAATTATTGAATAAATAGTATCAAAAATAGAATTTTCATATTCTTTTTCATTAATATGAGTCAAAGTACAAACTAGAAATTGTAGAATAATTTTTCTTTATATATTTCTAAATCATGATGACTTGAATCACTTTTAATAATTGTTTATGTATATCTTAAATTATAAAATTTATCTTTATAACTTGAATTTTTTCATAAGAATTAATACTTATAGAGGATTTATCTGTCAATAATATTTATTTCCAATCTTTTTTGATCTAATTCTTGTATTTTCTTATCTATTTTAATTGTTTTATATAATTAACTTCACTTATAAAAGGTTCTTACATATAATATAATAATTAATATTATTTTTCTTTAAGGTTTTCCTTAAAGTTTGTGCAGACATAGTAGATTGAGTTCTTTGTGAAATTTTAGTAGTAAGGAGGTGTTTTGACAATTTTCTTAATAACAGATCTAACTTAATTTTTCACAGAATTCAACATTCAAGATATTTATTGATAATCAGTTTAGATTTACTATTATTTCTTTTAATGTAATCAGTATGATTGGCTGATTTCCACTATAAAGGTAATTTTTGACTGCTGTCACAGATCATTCAATTATTTGAACAATTTTGGCAATGGACATTTATTCTTTTTAAACTCCTTTATCATGTGACATTATTCCTTTGTGAAATCAATTTTGTGACCTATTTTTCATGTATAACATGTATTTTCACGTCATTTCTTACTTAAATAAATAAATGATACAAAAATAATTTTTTTTTATTATTTACAAACAATCACTTATATATGCAATTGATACTTTATTATTATGATCAAAACTTTTGTGTACTTTATTGCCTTATGCGGTGATACCCGTCTGTAAGTAGTCAACCGTCCAACATAAGTTCTTTTTTAGAAATAATCATTTCAATTTGCATTTATTGCATACTGTAATACGTAATCGATATCTCTTTCCCATTCACAAGTAAAAGGATAACCGGAACAAAAAATTGGATATTATTAAAAAAATGACTCGTGGGAATTGTCTTATTGATGATCTAAAGATCTTAGTTAACAATCCACAATACAGCGATTTAGAAATTAAATGCAAGGACAATAAAATTATTTATGGAAATCGTGCTATCCTTGCAGCTCGTTCTGAATTATTTAACAGAATGCTCTTTACTAGGACGAGTGAAGCGCCGGAAAAACAAATCTCGTTTTCTAAAATCGAATCTTCGGTCATGAAAATTATTCTAGAATACTTATATACTGGAAAAATTCCTGATGGAAGCTTGTCAGCTGATAATGTATTTGAAATTTTGTATGCAGCAGATTTTTTTCAACTAAAGAACCTTCAAGACATCATTTCAGACTTCTATATAAAAGCATGTCAAGAGGAAGGAATTGATAATAAATCTCCGGAATTGTTGTCAAAAGCGGTACAACTTACTCTATCGGGTGATAATGGTATTATTGATTTTTTGATAGATTCAGTTGCCAAGATTCCATTAGATGTTATTGGGTTTAATCGATTGTCACTACAAGCATTGCGGTTTTTATTATATAAGACGAATGATCAACGGAAATTCTTCGTTACCAATGAATATTCAGTTCTAAGGTTTACTATTTT